AGATGCTGCTCTTTATGTTTATTTACTGTCTTAGTTGTGTGTGGCGTTTAATTTACATTTTGTTGTTCTTTGTTTTTTTTTATTCAAGTGCATTTTTGTTAGAGACTGAGAGTCCACTTTGTTAAACATTCTTTAAAAATGAAAGTTTATTGATTTATTACACTTACATATTACGCTTTTATATTAGTTGTAAAATGGTCACCAGGCAATATTATCGCTTATCGCAATAACCTGTGAGACAATTAATCGCCCAGCAAAATTTGTTATCGTGACAGGCCTATCCTGGTGTGTCCTGAGGCAGCCAGGCAGGGGAGCAGAAACCACTGGTTGGGACTAGAACTACCTTTTAGGATCAGCTCCTCCTCTGTGTCTCCAAGTTGAGCTTCCTCATCACAGAGCACACCTCCCCACCCCCCACCTGTGACTCCTGCAGGCTCTCTGCAGCAACAAACCAAACTGCTGAAACTGAAACTGTCTGCTGAGCTCCCAATACTACTTCTGAGCGCAGCCCTTTTCAGATTCAAATGTATTTTCAGATGCCAAGTAAACTACACCGAGCTTCCATATCACAGCACAATTTCACCTAAACAAACAACACTGGTGTGGGAAAAACATTTTATCCACGTCACTATATATTCACCTTTACTCCGGTAGTGTTGAGACCTCAACGTTCCAGCTGACAACTGTGTAGACACTGATCTTGTTTTAATATATGAAGTTGCAGTATTTTCCAAAGCAGAGCTTGTGGTCGCAGGTGAAGCCTGAAGAAATAAACAAGTCAGTAAAAAATAGAATAGAATAGAACAGAATAGAATAGAAAGCCTTTACTGTCCCGCCGAGGGGAAATTCATGTGTCCCAGGAGCATCAGCACAGAGGTTCACATGCTAGTTACTTTACAAAACGTAGATAGTACACAAAAAACGAAATTAACACTGACTAGCCATGATACGGCTACTATTAAAAATATAATATAAATAAATGTGCAAGAATAAAAAAGCTATGTTTTATTTTCTAGACAGACTATCAGAATCTGACATTTGGAATCAGAATTTGCCTATTTTCAGAGCAAAATAATCAACGAACTATTAACTGTAAAGTATCACAATGCAGACAATAAACACAGATGTGCAATTACAGCAGATTTTTTTTTTACGTTTAGAATGATTAAAAAACATATTTTGGGAGAATAAAGTCTGAATGACAGGTGTGATAAGTCCAGTTTTAATTATCATCATCATCACTATTCCAAAAACACATAACTTTGATGTTACTGGAGTTTGAGCGGAATGTTACAAGTTTACTCATGTTCTCCATGTTTATGGCCCAAGGTAACATTT